GAGCAGTTGGTGGATTCGAACCGCAGATCGTTAGTTCCTTACCTAGGGGCCCTACTGAAAGTGCTAAGCATGATGATTTTATGAATAATACTTGAGGCATCTAGCACTTCATTTTTTTTTAATGTGTGTACTGTCAAATTGGGTATGCCTGGTACAGGAGGAGATTGTCCCTCCTTCTTCAGCAGAGCATCTGGTGGATTCAAACTGTGAACGTCTGGGATTGCAGTGCAGCTTCTTGCCACTAGGCCACCAGAGCTCACCACAAGCACTTCATTTTTAAGAGATCTGAGCCATCAAGAATTTATGAAAGAATGAATCAAGCTGCAACAATGAATGAATGGAAATCCAAGTTTTCTGTAAACTTGTTAAATTCTATATAATAAAAGAATGAATATAGAACAAATTATGCCAGGGGACATAAGTCAGTCATAAAAGGACAATCATGGTATAAGACAACTATTATAAAAATCTAAGGGGAGCAACAATAAAGGACTGGAAACCCTAAGTCTCTGTACACTTGCATTAAAATTAATTTTTTTAAAGTATATTAAAAAATCGTACAGATAAAAAAATAGCATACAGGTAAGATCAAACTTGAGCAGATAACAGGAATGGAAAGAGGGAGAGGGGAGAAAAAATAAATCGGTAAATTGGGTGAAGGGAAAGGCAGAATACAGTAAAGGACTTATTAGATGTTGTAATTCATTAATGATATTAATCAGTGATAATTAATGTTCTAAAACAGTATCTGTGAATGAGTGTATAAAAAAACCAATGTGATTTCCCTTACTTAAAAAAATTTTTTTTCAATGACAAATGAAGCTTGAATGAAGCTTTAGTCTATAATCATAAGCTAAGGAGTTGGGCCACCAATCCAAAGGTGGGCAGTTCAAATCACCAGCTCCTTTGTCGTAGCTAGGTAGGCTCCTCTTGTAATTGTTGTTGTTACATGCTGTTGAGTTGGGACTGACTCATACCTGCCACTCCAACAGGTTTTCAGAGGTTGTAAATTGCATGGGAAGAGATTACCCATTTTTCTCCCAGAGTGCAGGTGGATTCAAACCAGGTGCCTTTGAGTTTGAAGTGCAGCTCCTTATCCCTAGGCCACTAGCGTAAATTAGCTGTAAGTCAGTTCTGACTCAATGGCACATAACAACAACAGTTTTTCATAATAGAGGCCATTACAAAGCTGAGATTGTACTGGTAGTTCCGTCTCTGTACTAAGACAGTATAATTAAAAAAAACAAACACATTGCAGTATAATTTTTTCTGTACCTTAACTAGCATAAAATTGTGTTAGAAATGTCACATATAGCTACAGAAAAAATCAGTATGGAAATATTTTTGGGATTTTAAGTCTCTATCTTGGTGGATACATTCTCTAAGCAAGGGAACTTAATTTTGGAACATTAATTTTTACTGATTAATGGTTACTCTATAAATGTCCATAAATTGTCATTGAAATTTTTTTTGCTTTCTAAGGCCAAATAAAGAATCATTTTAAGTAACCTTAGTAAGCAGTGAAACCATACTATCTGTCACCAGTTATGTAGACTTTTTTTAATTAAAAAGAGGTTATGGATTTAAAAAAAAATATACAAATTATCATAAATTTTAATTCTTTTTGGTTTGAATATTTCCTAAATCTATCTACACTTCTTTAACTAGCCTACTATTTTGATTTGCATTCTAAATACCCACTTTTCAGATATAACCTCATATTCATTTTTTTAAAAATTTATTTTATTATTTGTGTGTGTGTGTGTACACCGTCAAATCAGATCTGACTGGTACAGGAGGAGATTGTTCCTCCTTCTCCAGCAGAGCATCTGGTGGATTTGAACCGTCCACCTCTGGGGTTGCAGTACACCTTCTTGCCACGAGGCCACCAGAGCTCGCCAAACCTCATATTCATTTTTACAACAAAGTTACAATCATTTTTCTTGGTTGTTCTTACAGAAGCACAGTCTTGGTGTAAATTTTGAAGGCAGCACAGTGTAAAAGATTTTTATTTATAACAAAAATCAGTCAATAAATTAATTGATAATTCATTAATTTATAAATTAATATTTTACAAATACTTATAGTTTTCTTAAGCATTAGAGTACACTTTAAAACTATGACCTTAATTGTGCAATAGGTACTTTTAACCTTAATTTTGTAAAAAAAAAATTAGCATATGTTCATTTTCTCCACATTTAAGCAATTGTTGAGAAACTGAGATTGAATTTTATTTTGTATCAGTAAATTCTTATTTTTTTTCTTTTTGTTTGGATTAACTTTTGGGGACAATGGAAGAAACAAAGTTTTGTTTTTATTGATTTGCATATAGTCATTCATATACATTTGTTTCATTCACATATACTGTGTTTTATACATCACTTATAGAAATTTTGGTTTATATCATCATTATGGATCATTATATCATCATAATCACCCCACCTCTTCCATTGCATCTTTCCTCTTCCTTCACCCTCTCATCTACCTACTATCCTCTGCTTTCCTAGTAATTTCCTGCCCTCCCTCATCTCTGACCCTTTAATGACAAAGAAACTTACAGTAAATAAACTTTTTGATCAGATATGTTTCAGAAAAAATGTTTCTCTATAAATATGCTTTCTTGGATATTTTGGATTGATTTTACTCTTTCCCCTCAGAACCATTGCTTAGATTTGTCAGTCCAAAATTATTATAATACACTAAGACATGATCGCTTACTTTTGTCACAAACATGACACAGACTCAGAGCCCTGTTATTAAAACTCAACAAAACCTTTCTTCCATCGACTTAAACTGACTCATAACTGGCTCCTCCCAATCTCCCCCCAAGTGAATTTTCAGAGGTTCTACATTGTTTTGGAGGAGATTGCCCATCCATCTCCTGAAATCATTAAAAGAAAGCTAAAATTATATAGTTATTTAATGTCTAGTACTTATTTTTCCTAAAAATCTCAGGAGAATTATTTTCTCTGAAATAAAGTAGAATAAATTATTATTACTAGAGTAATTTCTTATTTCCGTGTTTTCTTTTGATGAATAGTATATTTGGTAAGGAATAGTATATTTGAAATAAGGAAAGATAATTATAAGACAAAGCAATCTTTGCAAAATACATAAAGACATACATAAATGTTGCAAATGTATGTATATATGTATATACATATATATGTATATATGTATATGTGTTAGGTGTCAGTGAACTTGAAAGTGAAAGTCTTTCTTTGAGATTAATTTTACTGTCTGCTACGCTTTTGAGTAGAGAGGCTACTAGCTACATGTAAGTATTTGAATTGCCATTGATGACAATTAAATAGAATTTGCTGTTCCGTTTCTCAGTTGCATCTAGCCCTGTTTCCCGTGGTTTTGTACTAGGCGTGATGATAAAGAATCCATGTCCATCCTTCAAAACAGCAATGATCAAGAGATCATCAATTCCCATTCTCATATATATTCTTCCAGAATTTATTCTTCATCTAAACTCTTCCAGATTTTATTCTTCATATAAACTAAAAAAACTCCACTCACTTTCGCGCCTGCTCTGGCTCTGGGTGCCTTTGGGTTGACAGTGTAGTCCCTTACCCACTAGGTCACCAGGACTCCCCGCACATTATTACTGTTTTACTGCCGTGCGATTGTACAACACAGCTTCTCCGCCGGGTGTGTGCTTTACAGTTTTTACCGTATTACAACACGTGCGAGCAGTCTCGGTCTTCTGGTGACTGTTTTTTATACACTGTATTTACATAGCCGACTCTGTGGCCAATGGTGAGTTCTCCACATGGTGATCGCAATGTGGGTAGTTTGGAAAGAATGATGTCATCTTCTTGTTGTCACTTCATTGAATAGATTAAACCCTAATTCTTCTACAGAGGAGCTGTGGTGACTTAGTGGTATAGAGTTACAGTTCCAATCAAAGGTATATGGTTTTAATCCACTACTACTCCATTGGAGTAAGATGGGCAATCTCCTCCCTTGCAGTTACTGCCTCTGAGAACCCTCTGGAGGGTCAGCTATGGGTTGGTTCTGTCTTGAAAGTATAAAACAGCAACAATCTTTTTTTCAATTCTTATACACACACACATACATATATACATACACACATACACACACATACATATATGTAAAACAAGCATAAAAACAACCCTTATCTTCAGATGGGATGGAAATACTTTTCTTGGGCCTATCTATCGTTGAAATATTTTGAAACCAAAAGGTGAAAAAAAATCTCCTAAAAATGTCTACTAAAATGTTATTAATCTTTTTTTCCCCTTCTGCCCCCTTGACATAGGCCACAAATGCTCATACCAACGAGGTGGTGGCCATTAAGAAAATGTCCTACAGTGGCAAGCAGGCGCATGAGGTAAGATAGACAGTTGTATTCAGAAAATGACATGAGCTGGGTGATGTGAAGTCAACCGTAGAAACATAGATTTTTAAAATCCCTAGTCTCAAAAAATAAAAAAAATTTAAAAAAAAATTAAAAAAAAAATCCCTAGTCTCTCTTCCCCCACCCCCCCAACCGCTTCTTTTAGAGGATTTCATAAATGCTCCTAAAATTCTAGTTTAATGAGCTCTGATGGCCCTAGTGGTATGAAACTGCACCGCATTCCTGAAGGTACTTGGCTTTAACCCACCAGCTGCTCTGCAGGAGAAGGATGGGCAGGCTCCTCCCAGGCGATTAACTGCCTCCGAAAACCTGCTGGAGAGTCAGCTACAGAGTCATCCAGACTCAACCACAATAGTCTTCTGGCTCAGTCAGCTGTTTTTCAGGACACAAATCTCATCTTTATACTGGGATGCGATTTTATTGTTGTTTGGTGCCGTCGAGTCAAAGATGACTCATAGTGACCCTATGAATGAAAGACCTGAACACTTGTATAACCGTCATCGTTTCTCCACATTCATCGAGTTTCCGGAAGCAAGCAATTTTAGAAGTGGATTCCACTCCTGCTTCCAAGCCTGTTTTAATCGGGGAGCTCCACCAAACACTGTCCACCGTGGGTAACCATTATCACATTTGACACATCAGTGACTGTCACAGTGTTTAGCATCACAGCAACCACAAGTTACCTTCGTACAGCAAATGGACAGACCAGTGCTATACCACTTAGAACAATGTTTGACCAAAAGCAATTAAAACCAGGCCTGAGGGCTGCAGATTAAAATCTCCCACCTTTGGCTTGGCAGCATAACTTTCTATCCAGTAGGCCCATAGAGCTCTCTTGTTGTTGTTGTTGTTGTTGTTGTCATTATTGTTAGATGCTGTCAAGTCATAGATGACTCATAGCGACCCTATGAATGAAAGACTTGAACATTTGTATAACTTTCATCATTTCTCCACGTTCATAGAGTTTCCGGAGGCAAGCCATTTCAGAAGTGAATGCCACTCCTGCTTCCAAGATTGTTTTATGCCTTTATTACTACCATATATTTAATGACAGCGACATTTCCACTGAACTCAAACTAAAATAGTACTGTTGAAATCACTTCTTCCTTTATTTAGCATATTTTTATATCTACTGAAAATAGTAAAAAATAATATTGCTTTCATTAAAATTAATGATAAATGGAAAAATAATGTTACATATATGTGTACTCGATTATAAAGTTGCATTTTTCTGCTGAAAAATTAAAACATCTCCTTTCCAACGTCAATAGAAATGGCAAGATATTCTTAAGGAAGTAAAATTTCTACGACAACTGAAGCATCCGAACACCATAGAATATAAAGGCTGTTACCTGAAAGAGCACACTGCCTGGGTGAGTAAGAGGACTTCTGACGCGTGTCCCCCTTTCCCTCTAGTTAATTAATTTTGTTCTCCCCCCCACCTTATCTGTTTTACCTGTAAAATTATCAATCCCATTTCTGTCCAATTTAACTTTTATTGTTGATATTTTACATTTATTTATCCCTTAGAACTTGCTGAATGAATCTCTCTGTCTTTAGTATCATGCCTTTGGGTAATTCCATTTTATAAACTCTCAGGAAAGAAATAATAAAAGACATCATCTTTTTATAATGACGTCTTACTAGAATATAAAGACCTGTTGTCATTCTAGAATTTTCATTTTTTGTCATTTCTCGTGCCCAACTCCATCCAGTCTCCTGAAAATTTTGTATTGTGGTTGGGATTGTTATCACCCCTTTCATTTTTTAACCACGTAATTAAAATGGAAGACTATTTTGCCCTACTCTATCTTTTCAGTGTATTTTTATATGATTGCATTTAGGTTGACACATTAGGCACCATTTTGAAAGTATGGAAGTGTTCTATTTTTCTACTTTATCAGAACACACTTGCTAATTTAAAGTCCAAGATTAAAGTTTAGTTTTATTCTATATTAGCTGTCATTGAATGCTTACTGTGTATTAAATCCTATTTATGATATCCAGCTAGGGAATGGCATTTTTGTTCTTAGACAAACTATAACAAACAGTATATATAATCTTTTCATGATGCTTGGAGCCTGGAATGCCCACTTGCATTTCCACTTTGATGACGTAGTGGGGACCTCCTATCCCACTTTTATTGCATGCTGCCATCTCATGGAAGTCCAGGGCAATTGCATTAGTCTGAAGGAGCAGACCTCATTCCTCACAATATCAGTACTAGAAACCCCTCAGGACAAATATGTTCCACTAATTATCTTTGAATCTATAGTGGGGGAGGGAGAGATTACATTTAATTTGAAGTACTTTCCATTAGTGAAAACACGTGGTTTCAGCAACCACAACACAAATGCCACATGGGAAATATCTTGTCTTCAAAGAATAAGCATCAACAGTTCTGTTCAAGCAGTTCTGAGATGCCGAGAACTCCTTTTCTTTTTTTTTATTATTATTTTTTAAATATTATTATTAATTTATAGAGACTTTGGATTTCCGTTCATTCATGGTTGTGCTTTTCTCCCTGCCAACCCTTCTCCTTCAAGCTCATTCTTCTTTTTGAAAAGTATAAGAAAAATTCTTTCATTGTTATACAATCCTTTCCCCCTAGTCCACTCCACTATGCAGCCTTCGTTCTGGACTCCTGTCATGACAATACCTAATCATATTCCTTTTAAAAAGTTCTCTCTCTTATCTGTTTCAATACAGTATACATAATTTATCCCATCTTTCTCAGTCTCCCTCCAACCCTGATGTCAGCCTCGTTTTACAACAGTGACACTATGCAGTATTTGTCCTTTAGTGTCTCATACTTCACTCAGCATAATGTCCTCCAGGGTTGACCATTTTGAATAATATTTCATGAGTTCCTTTTTTGTCAATGCAGCATAATATTCCATTGTGTGAATATACCACAGCTTCTCTATTCATTCGTTTGTTGATGGGCACTTGGATTGTTTCCAACTCTTTACTATTGTGAACAAATCCGCAATAAACATGGGTGTGCATATATCTGCTTTGGTGGTGGTTATGGTTTCTTTGGGGTATATTCCCAGTAGTGGAACTGCTGGGCCAAATAGTATTTCTATTTGCAACTTTTTGAGAAAATTCCATACAGCCTTCCATAGTGGCTGCACCATTTTACACTCCCACCAACAGTGAATAAGGGTTCCCGGTTTTTCCACAACTTCGGCAACATTTCAAGTTTGTAGTTCTGTTAAATTTTGGTATCCTTACTGGGGTGAAATGATATCTCATAGTTGTTTTGAGAGAACTCCTTTTCTAAACAAGGAAGCACATGAGAGGAGCATCAGATTATCTGGAAATCAGGTCTCTGACAAGCTCATCTCTCTTTAAAAAAGAGTCAACAGAAGAAATTGGATTGTTTGTGTCTTTTTTTTTTGTGAATTTTGCTAATGGTTTGTTGATTTTATTGACCTTTTTGAAGAACCAACTCCTGGTTTTGTTGATAGTTTCAATTGTTTTTTGGTTTTCTATTTCATTTATTTTTGCTCTAATTTTTATAATTACAGTTTTTTTTAGAGGTGTTGGGTTTTCTTACTGTTCTTTTTCAATTTGCTGGAGATGTTGAGTTAGAGTCAATGGACAATTTTTCCTGCCTTTTGATGTGTTTGCTTATTACTATAAATTGACCTCTGATTATTGCTTTGGCTGTTTCCTGGAGGACATTATGATAATTGAAATATCTCAGTCACAAAAGGACAAATACTGCATTGTGCCACTGTTGTAGAACGAGACTGACCTCAGGGTTGGGGTCAGACTGAGAAAAATTGGATAAATTATGTAGACTGCATTGAAACAAATGAGGGAGACAACAATTTAAAAGCAATACATGATTGTATATTATGTCATGACAAAGAGTCCAGAATGAAGGCTGCATAGTGGAGTATACTGGGGTGGAGGGGTTTGTATACCAATGAAAGAATTTTAGTTTTCGAAGAGAAAAGCAAACTGGGGTGGAGGGGTGGGCAGGGGGACAAATGCAAAATGAATGAATGGAAATCCAAAATCTCTATGAGCGTTCATTACAATTATTAAAATAAAATTTAAAAGAAAAACTAAATTGGGCAGGAGAAAAAAAAGGAAGAAATGGGGCAGGCAGAACAAGTGTCACATTATTAAATCCAAGTGCTAAATCTCTTGCATTTCAAGTCTTCCAGACATCCTCCAAGCTCTCATTTGAATCCTGCTATGTGGATAGATTATTCAGTGTTCTAATGATCTTGACTACCTGGATCTGTCCACAGCTGGTTTGAAGGAGCTCCCAGGAAGAGTGCTGCTGGGGAGGCACATACAAGCAGCCCCGAGAATAATCTGACCCCAAGGAAGCAGCCAGGGAAGAGAGAAAACAGACCCAGTCATTTAAAAGGCTGAGCAACTTGAACTGTATAGTGTCAGGAGCAACCCACCAGCCTTCCATCAGTTGACCTTGTGATGTAGCCTAGCAAACCTCTCATAGGTGGGAAACCAGATCACCAAGCCCTCACTGTAATCTAAGTGAAAACATGCTTCACGTGAGAGCTTGAAGGGTTTTCTGAAGATCGGACACTTGAGATCTAGCTCTTGGAGTTTGCCCTTCTGTCAGAGAATTATTAGGGAAAAGAATCATTTGTGATAGTAACACTAAATGTTGTAAATATATATACATATATATAGTTTCCAGGAATGTAAACTTATTCCAGGAACTACACATATCCCATCTGTCCTTTTTTTTTTAAGTGTGTATCTGTATTACATATACTTCTTGCTGCCAACACAAAGGTATGCTGGTTTAAATCCAACTACTGCACTGTGGGAGAAAGATGGTCGGTCTCCTCCCATGCGATTTATTATTACCTTTGAAAACTCCCAGGAGGGTCGTGTTCTGGGTCAGTTCTGACTTGATGGTTGGTACTCAAGGACGGTATCCACTCTCCATTTTAGGAAATTATATGTCCATACTCAAGATATAAGAAGAGTATTCAATATCATTTAAAAATATTGCCACCAAATTATTAACTTCATTTATCTATTTATTGAACTCTTCTCGCTTAAAAAAAGAAAAAGGAATCAATATGCTGAGACTGATTATATTTAGGGATTATGGGGAATTCTCTTTATCTAATGAGCGTGTATGGCTCTTGGGTTGACACCCTGGTATAGCGTTTAGAGCTGCTATAATCTAAGTCATCGCTGACAAGTGAGAATTGTCTCATAGCTGACCTTCCACTGAGTTTCAGAGGCTGTAGGCAGCGCCGCCAGAAGAGATTGCCCATCTTTTTCCTAAGGACCAATGGTGGATTCGAACTTGTAGCGAGGCACAGTCTTTAGATTATGGTTTCAAATCCACATTCATTCCATGTGACAAAGATGTGACAGCCTCCTGTAAAGATTACAGCCTGGGACGCCCCATGGGAAAACTTGGTCACTATGAATTGACATTAACTTGATAGCAGTGGGCTTAGTTTGTTTTGTTTTCTTAATGAGCATGTATTTTTTTAATTTTTTTTAATGAGCATGCATTTTTACAGTAACAAAATTATTGCAAAAGAGTGAAAGGGGGGTGTGCGTGTCTGTGTGTGTGTGTGTGTGTGTGTGTGTGTGTGAAAGAGAGAGAATTGGTCATGCAGCATTCATACTTGTATTTCTGAGGGTGGATGCAAATCCGCAGTCTAGAACACCTGAAAGGCGTGTCGGGTGAATAAACAAGTTGGTTTAACTTGAGTTTTAATTTTTGCTTTAAAAAGCCTCTTAAGATTACAAATCCAAAACATCTTAGCAAAATTTTACCAATATTAGTCTTAAATATCCTAAGACACAACTTGACCTTAAAACATGTTTTAGCATAAGGGAGCTCTGGTGGCCTAGTGGCAAGAAGCTGCACTGCAATCCCAGAGGTACACAGTTCGAATCCACTAGATACTTTGCTGGAGAGGAAGGGGCGATCTCCTCCTGTACCAGTCAGATCCGATTTGATGATACACACACATACCAAAAAAATTAATAAGATTAAAAACAAATTTAGCATAAATATTTTAACTTTGTCTCACATCTCTGAGAGATTAAAAATAATGTAATGATACTAAACAATATTACATTAAATTCCTATCCTTAAAAAAAAGATAATGTAATGATACATGGCGGGTGACATATTTCAATTAAATTCTCTGTGGTCTGTATTTATTATATAGAACTTTTTAAAGTGTAAAAATAAGCAATATACATACTTTTTTTTTAAGCTTTATTATTTTATTTAGCTGGTTTGTCCCAGTATAGATTTTACTGTCTCGTGTATTTGTTTTCTACTTTTCAAATTACAAAATTTATAATGCAATGCAGCTACTCTGAGTCCTTTTTAGAAACAGGCAGAATGGACATTCATGAGTAAATACGTTACTGATCTAAATTTGACCACATATAGAGAATATTTCCATAGCAGTCCCTTTTTTCAGTGTTAGACCACTTCCAGATTAGAAGAATTTTTTTTCTTATTTTAAAAATGGAATGATAGAAATTGTAAAAATCACTTCATGGAGTCTAGGTTCAGAAGATCAGAATATCTCTTCTACTTATTCTTTATTCTTTGGGTTTGGTTGTTTTGTTGTTTTTTGTTTTTTTTTTAATTCTGGGACTATTTTGGTGGTTGAGTTTTTCTTTTTTTAAATTAATTTTTCTTTTCCTGGTTATTATTTTAATCTATTACAGTTGGTGATGGAATATTGCTTAGGCTCAGCGTCAGATCTGTTAGAAGGTAAGAATGAAACCCCTACTCCCTCCTCCTTCCTGTTTTACCTCGTCAGATGTTCATCTCGTCCAATACTCAAGTGCAGTTTGGGCAAAGTAGACGGAGGGAGGCTTGAACTGACGTACCATGTGGATATGCCGTGCACACTTTACTCCCTGCTGTGTCACTGCACATATCTGAGAGTTGATTAGAACCTTCCTGCCAACGCTATCAGGCCAGGCAGATTCCAGATTCTTCCCAAATCTTTGACGGCTACACTGTGCTATGCGCAGCTGAGAGAGTATCACATTCATGTGCGTCGATGAAATAGAAGTAGATGCTATTGATCCTGAACCTTTTCAGATACCTTGACTGACCCAGCTCTCCCTTGCAAATGCTGCTAACACCAGAAACTGTTGGAAATTTATATACCTATTTAAAAAAAAATAAAGAAAAGCTTTCTCATCCTATCTTTGATTCCTGAATAGAAATTGCTTATTAGCTTTTTTTCACAAATAACGAAAACCTGCATTTAGGAGGAGTAATTATAGATGGTTTTATGGCAGAGGAGAATAACGTAACCTTAAGCATCCCAGGCATTTAAAACGTCAGAAGGGACTGGTAAATTTGGGCCTAGCCTGTTGGAATCAGTGTGGCTGTGTCTTGCACAGCTGAGAGGTAAATTACCAGCTCAGGGAGGAACAGGCTTTGATGCTTGGCTTTGTTTGGAAGGATTTGTTTTTGTTTTTTCTTTTTGTTTTGTTTTGTTTTGTTTTTGGTTTGGGGTGGGTTCTTGCTTTGTCTTTTTTTTTTAAGTCTCACTGGCCTTTCCTGCTATCTGGTGATTTTTCTGTTTTCTGGAAATATTGTGGATTGAAGTAGCCTGTGTTCCCCATTTGTCATTTGAGAACATGTGTCATTTTGTCTGGTCTATCAAAGGGTATTATGTAAGACAATTGCATAGTGTTGTATAAGAAACAGCCATCTAAGTATATGCAACTGTATCTTACTTGTATAATGTTGTGTAAGATAGAGTCCTATAAGGTAAGAAAAAAAGACATGAAGCTCATCATCTGCTCCTACTCACCTGTTTGTGTTCCTCCTTCAGTTCATAAGAAACCACTGCAGGAAGTGGAGATCGCCGCCATTACCCAGGGTGCTTTGCAGGGGTTGGCCTACCTGCATTCTCATGCTTTGATTCATAGGTAAGACCAGAGACCAGCTAACGTTTCCATTGCCATTACAGGACTTAAAAGAACTTTGATAATTAGTGCATGCTCCAATTTTTAAGGTGCTAAAGGATTTATGGGGAGGCAATAAATTGGTGCTTCTAGATGTATAGATGTAAGGAGTCAAGTCCAAGTCCTCTGGCTCTAACTCTCGCATCTTGGTATCTCTCATAGATCCTTAAAGACTTATCTCTGTTCTGCAAGTTACTATTTTCCAGGCTAGGAGATGTAGGGAAATGTGAAGAAAGTCCCAACAACCTTTTGATACTGTGCCCGGAATAGTAGAAAAATTAACTTTCCTTCTGTATATTCTATTCCTTAAGCTCAACAACTTCTTTTTTCTGCTTTCCATAACAAATTAATCTTACATAATTTTTTTATTACTTAGATATTATTTTGCATTTCTATAACACATATTAGGAGCCCTGATGGTGTATTAGGGAACTTTAGTGGGTTAACCTAGTGGTTAAGGAGTTGTGCTGCCAACCCTGAGATAGGCAGTTCGAATCCACCAGCTGCTCCTCAGGGGAAAAGATGGCCAATCTCCTCCTGTGCAGTTTACATCCTCCGAAAACCCTCGGGTCAAACTCGATGACAGTGAGTTGGTTTTCTTGGCCCTGCTAACTGAAAGATTGATGGTTCAAATTCACCCACTGCTCCTCTAAAGAAAGATAAGACACATACATGCTCCTGTACAAATCCACAGCACTGGAAACCCGACAGAGAGTTGCCATGAGCAGAGGACATTGTCCATCTTTCTCCCTCAGAGCACCTAGTGGAATTGAACTGCCTGGCTTTGGGTCAACAATACCACTCCTTACCACTAGGCCACCAGGGCTCCCTTTACTGGGTATGTTGTGTACTGTGCAGTCAGAACTGACTCATAACTGACCCTCTAGTGAATTTTTGGAGGCAGTTAATCACATGGGAGGAAATGACCCATCTTTTTTCTCATGGAGCAGCCAGTGGATTTGAACCACTTGCCTCTAGGTTGGCAGTGCAGCTCTTCACCACTACGCCACCAGAATCCATATAAATATTTAAGAGGTTGTCATTCACTTTGTTTATGAGACAGAGCAACTGGGGCTCAGAAATATTTCAGTGCCTTGTTTTATGGGGTTTTGCCACTTCTCTTACCTCCCTTTACTAACTTCTCCAAAGGAAAGATGTTGTTAAGCAATCTGTCCTGCTTGCAATGAAGGACTTTTTTTTAATGTATTTGCGTGAATGAATGGTAGGAGAAGTAGTGGAATATGAGCTAAGTGTGAAGGGTCTGACATCGCTCGCCAAGAAAAGTAAATGCTTGATGTTTACTAGGAAGAAGTGAAACTATTAGGTCATTGGTTCCCCTTTTACTCCCTCTAGAGTAAGCATCACCAGTTTTTCAAAAACAGAACTTCCACAAATGAGTCAGGTCAAAATGTGTACTGTGAAGCTGACTAATTTATCATGGTGGAGAATGCTTAATACATACCAATGAAATTTAACCATTTAACCATAGTGTCTATAGATTTCACTTTAAAGAAGAAGAAAAAATCAGGTACAAAGATGTCAGTGCTGAATGGCAACTTACATATGGTAGTTAAACCTAGTTTCGCTTAAAGTCTTAGTCCCACTTGTTCTTTTATTACTTTAATTTTCACGTTAGTCTATTATTTGAGTCTATGTTGTTTTATATTTTCTTAAATATGTTGGGGAAATTGGAAGGCGAGGGAAGACTTTAAAGAATGCTGTCTGTTCTTACTGTACAACATGGAACAGATTATGTTGTAGGATTTAAGCCCATCACAGAAAACCAATTATGGTATAACCCTCTATTTATAAAAAGTTGAAGAAAGGTTTAAACATAGTTAGAATCAATCTTAGAGAGGTAATAGAGATCGAGCAGCATAATAAATAATAAATAAATTGAATGAAAGGAGAAGCAATAAGGGGTTGATTAGACATTGTCATTAATTGCTTACCTGTGGTAATTAATGTTATAAAAGAAAATGTCTATGAATGATTGCATGAAAAACCACTATGGCTTACAAACCTTCAATCGAATAAATGAATTGGTCAAATAATTTAAAATGTTCTTTAAAGATAATCATGCCTTAGATTGTTATTTTTTACTTAAAAGAGCAGTATTCTAATGGAAGATAATAGAGAAAAGATATTTTCCTGTTGTTAAGATTTAAATAATACTTTTTTTTAGTTCTGCCAGTGCTTAATGCCATCATGAGGAAAGAAATGGAACTTTCAAGGGAAGATTTTGGAAAAGTTATTTTGGAAGTATTTGAACTTTATCATTTTTAGCTTGATCTAAGTTTTTCCTCATTCTTTTGACTTTCCACTGCCCATTAATTTACAATTTTTGGTTCCCAGTACTCATTATACCTCATACCTTTTCTAAAATTCATTCTAATTGTCACACTAAAGAATGAATTTTTAAATTCCATTTTTTTTAAAAAACTTGCATAAAACATCTCTTCACTTTATTAAAATACCACTTGCAATTCTTTTTTTTTAGTAGTAATATAGTTCAGCTGTAATCTGTTAACCCCTAATCCTTGTTTGTTTTGATCTTTCAGGATCTCCTTTTTACTGTACAGTGTTATTTTTAAAATAACACCTTCTCTATAACATGTACCCTCAAATGCCTTAGAGTTGCAGTTACAATTTAAAGCAGAGAGAAAGGGTCACAGGCAAGAAAGAAAAGGTATGTGTATAGTTGAGGCATATTTGGTAGGTAGTAAGTACAGAGTCACTGAAGATGTACTTAGACAAAAAAAAATGGCATATAGATTGGGAAGAAAAAGGACGGAGAGAAAAAAGGCAGTTACCAATGGCACCAGGCTTCCTAGCACAGGAACTGTTGTCAATAATTGGACTTTACCTTGAAAAATAGGCTTCCTGTTAGTGTAGCAACTGACCAGGCTTCCTTGTCTACCTTCCCTGTCTTTTTCCTGTGGCATTCCCTCCTTCTGAAGAAAGCATTGCTTTTCAGTAATTATTAGACCTACCTGTAAGTATTCCCAGGAATCTAGACCCCCTGACGACATGCAACAATTACCAAATCCCCTGCTGGCTGTCTGGAGCAAGGTTTTTTGGTTTTGTTTTTTAAAATAAACTTTTTTTTTATTTTATGAATTGCATGCTCTGACCTATTTTATAATCAAAGCTGTGAAATTGTTTCTAAGCCCCTCCCTTCTTTTTTTCTTACAGGGATATTAAAGCAGGCAATATTCTTCTAACAGAGCCCGGTCAGGTGAAACTGGCCGATTTTGGATCTGCCTCCATGGCCTCTCCCGCCAACTCCTTTGTGGGCACACCTTACTGGTATGTAGCATTAGAAAACAAAACAGAGGTTCAAAATGTAGAGATCTGAGTAAGAGGAGAGTACAGCATTTGTTTTGTTGACATTGTCTCCTCCTGTGTTTCAAAAGAAAATCTCATTAAAGAAGGATAGAAAATTCAATAGCAAGAAAGGTGCACTCTGATTTGGCATACAGTTTGCAGTGACTTTAAATTGTACAGATGTGGTTGATGTCATTGCATGTAAACTGAGCCAGATTATCAACTCACTAGTCATGCCCAAGGTTTAGATTTCCTTTCATGTTTCTGTGGAGCATTTCTCTTGAGACAGAGCCTTTGGGAAAGAACTGGCCTTTCCCCAGCTAGCCAACAATGTGACCAGCACAAACAGCACCTTTCGGTGGCAGAAATCCAGGTGGTTGTCCATGCTGAGTTTGTTGATGCTTTACCTGATTTATACATAGCTTCACCCATGCCATTTGACTTCCTACTGTTCTTTTCAGTTTCCTTTCATAGATAAATTGCATTTTTCAACTAACATTGAGAGTGACTTATGTATCCCTACAACTTTAACTTGTCAACTAAAAAACCAACCGCTATTTGATTTTTCCCCCATCAACATAAAATAGTGTTTACTGAGCAACTACCTATACCCCCTAATATAGTACTGCTCAAAGCATAATAAGCAGATAAGATCCCTGCTCTTTAATGAAAATCTGT